CCACAGCACCCCCACCGCACCCAGGCGGGGGGGGGGGGGGGGGGGGGGGGGGGGCGGGGGGGGGGGGGGGGGGGGGGGGGGGACAGTGAGGATGGGATTTTGGCTTGGGGCTAGGGACAAGGGGGGGCATGGGGGGATGCCTGGGTTCTTAGAAAGCTTTGCAAAGCATGTAAAGAAGCACACTTAGCATACGGGAGGGGGGGGGACAGTGAGGATGGGATTTTGGCTTTGGCCGGGAAGGATCCCAGCGCCCACTGTCTTTTCTCCTGATCTGAAGCCAACGACTGGGGCCTCCACAGTGCGAGGCTTCCCTAGCTGGGGCTTCTACTTGGGCGCCCATTTCATGGCCTGTGTATGTGTGTGTTTGCGTGTGTGTCTGGTTCCGGCCTTTAAGTCTCTGGTAATGAGGATCTTCTGCGTGCATGGAGCCAGAAATGGAAACTGGAAACACGTGCTGGCTACCAGCAAATATGCAGCGCTCCTAAATACTCGTTTCGAAATTAGCTAGTGTCCGCCCCTCTAAGGCAGATCGAGACACTGAGGCCGGTAGCGAAGAGGGACTTGCTCAAGGTAATAACGCACAGTAATGGTAGAGCCAAGCTGGACTCTGGAGATTTGTCAAGTGTGGAATGATAGCGACAGAGTTTGAAGGAAGCTCAGGATTCATGTTTATGCTTAATGTGAACGAGAACGCATTTAGATGCGTCCGTGTTAGCGACACCCACACGCAACCCACGTCTGGCTGTTTTGCTAGAGCGGAGGGAAAGGGGCACACGGCGGCGTTCCCTGGACGCCCCCTAGCGGCCTGCACCCAGGGCTCACAGCAGGGGCATGTGGGTGGTGGCCAGTGCCTAATAGGCGCTATTTCTCCAGTTGGAAAGAGCAACGTGCCCAGGCAGGGTGGTGTGGCTCTGCTTTAGGCATGCTCACGTCCTATACTTCTGGGAAGAGAAGACAGATGTGATCTCGGAGACCTCTCAGCTCCTTTCCAGTGACGAATGGGGGGAGAGGCCAGAGGTGTCAGTCCCACGGTGTTCAGCAAAGCTCGATGAGGTCAGAAAAGCCACAGGTTACTGTGGGGCGAACGGGCCGTGTGGGTGGGAGGTTTGAAGAACTGACCTCTGTTGTCACCATTCGGTCCTATCCTTCCCAAACCTACCGGTTTACAAAAAGGAAAATGAGGCAGAGAAGACAGGTGACTTGCTGGGGAGTCTCCAGTCCTTACTGCCCACCGCCACCACTTTGTTCAGAAAACATTCATAGCCAGCCACACACACCAAGGGCGGTCCCTGGGTCACCCCCACCTGCCCTTGAGAGAGCTCCATCTCCACAAAGGGAAATACAATTAGGAGCAATTATCCGTATAATTCCCCACAACCATCCCTGCGCCCGGGTCTCTCATCAAAACTGGCTATTTCTCCTGGACAGATCAAATGGATGATTGCCCTCCGATTGGTTCTGCCTATGTAGACGCGACCTGAGAAGCGCCGCAGCTTCCCTCCCCTCCAGAGTCTTTTTAAAGCGATTGAGTCCCGTTGTCCTGTCTGCGATCCCCGCCGCGCCGCGTCCCCAGACGTCCCGAAGCTGGATGGGGCTCCAGCCAGAGAGCGCCAGGGCCGAAGGCCCAGGAAGGGCGGCTGGG